CTGCTACTACTACTACTACTACTACTACTGCTGATGCTCTTGCTACTATTGCTGCTATTACTACTACTACTACTACTACTACTACTACCACTACTACTACTACTACTACTACTACTTCTGCTACTACTACTGCTACTACTACTACTACTACGACGACGACGACGACTACTACTCCTATACTCCTACTCCAACAACTCACTCCCACTCCCACTCCGACTCCTGCTCCTACTTTATGCCACCGCGCCGAGCCGGTTGTCAGTATCCCAGGCCTCGCCCTCCAAAATGCTCAAGATCGCTAAACTGCTAGAGTCCTCACAGGGCCGAAGTCGTGCTCCCACGGTGCATGTTCTGGGGTGCCAATCGCGATCCCGTCCGCAGTGTGTGGGATTCAAAGTGTAGTTGTGGGGGCTGGAATGGTCCTCGCGCCGCAAGCGATCACTGCCATCTGCTATGGCATACGTGCCCTAAGCCGTAATTAAGTCGTATGTAGCGAAAAGCCAAAAAGTCGCATCATCACAGCACCCGGCTGGGGAACCAAACACCTCCCGCGACACCCCCATGCATGCCTGTTTGTGTCACATCACACTGCGGATTTGCCGTTCGGAACATCACCTGGAACCACTCCAAACTTCTACAGTGACCTTCTAAAATCTTCTAAACCTGTGGAGATGCTCTTGCAGCGGCGGACTTGCTTTGTGGCATTTCTTTATTGCGCAAGACATGGAGGCATATTCGCGACTCGGCGCCCGCTGCCAACTTGCAGCTGAATGCTCTGCCTACAATGCAGCTGGCAGGAGCAAAATCGAGCAAGTGTCCGTCTGCGCGGAAGTTGCATGTTGAATGTGCAATGCTCTCGCTGATGCTTCCAAAACCGCAGGTCCTCAAGCGACTATTCTGCGACGATGCTAGCAGGGCGTGTGCGAGAAACGCGAGAAACACATCCCACAGGAGATAACCACACCCCCAGAAATGTTGCGGGCTGGCTGCAGTTAAGGCGCATAGATTAATAGCGCTGTCAGCAGGACACCTTCTGTGCACATGATGTCGCGCAAAAGCGCCTGAATCAAGACACACAAGCAGCGGGAAAAAATCAAACTGCGGCTGACATTGCCCATCATTGCTCGTCTGCAGATCTCTGACGTCTCGTCATTGCGTCTACAATCCTAGCATGCGGGCATAATCATGTGACACGTTGACTTGCGAACAAACCATGGTTGTGGCCAGGAGCTGAAATCAAATCAAGATTTCTTAAGGCCTGCCCAGGCTAAGCTGACTCAGGAAGCAGTGGCGGCAGACTAAGGAGTGCAAGACGCGAGTTCCATGATAATGTAGCTCCTGCAAGCTGCATTCCATCGATATACGTTGTTGGAAAGCCAGGATCAAACCATGGCCACAGCTTGGCTTATGTAAAAAACTTAATCTACACTCTGTGGCTTGGCAGCGACCAGTGCTCGTCCGTCAGTACCGGCTGAAAGACTCTGGTAGTCAGCTAAAACGAAGCGTGTGTCGATTTATTCGGGGCTCTAGCAGGGAAAGGGCTTTCCACCCGACAAATCCTGACAACCTTCCTTGTGTTTCGGGAGGCCGGAGACGATTGTTCACAGAAAGACTACTGGAAATCAGTTGGACGAGGAAGTCTTGTCGCGGCTACGTTTGCAAGCTGAAGCTTAGTGTTGCTGTTGACCAGTGTGGTGATCAGTCTCGGATAACCCTCCACTCTGTAAATACAATGGGTGGCGCCTGCGCAGCGTAGCGCCGCCCGTTGCCAGTTGTCGACACCATTCCCAAGTCCTGGTTTGGGCTGTGGCGGCAGTGGCTGTCATGCGTTGCTTCTCTTAGCAGCTCCCAGACTTGTGGGGCACAAAGGTCCGACTGAGCGTGCTGCAAAAAGACTCGTTTCATCGAACTCGTCCTGACAGTGCGATTGGAACAATACTTCACAGCTGTAAACCACCAAACCAAAGAAACACATGTGGAAATCCTGGGTGGCGAGGACGGCAATTCGTAGTGTGGACGCATCCTTCGCAGAGAGAAGCAACTTTGGGCTTCAGCATAAGAACCACTGCGCGGCGCTGAAGTGCCCGGCGGATCCTCGGGCTCATCGGTCGCTGCTTGCGCAGGCCTGAAGGGCACGGCTGGAGCAAAAGTACCGGGGAAGGGACATCCGATATCCGTGCCTAACGAGGAGGTCAGCACCGGGTTGCGCCGTCGCAGCAGCAAGGAGTTGGCTTCCAGGCCCAGGCGGTCTCAAATAAAGCAAACCTGCAGGAAACTCGTTTGACAATGTTGGCTGAAAGCTATGGAGACTTGTCGGACGTGCCTCCGTAGAGAACGATGCCGGAGAGGCCTCGATCCTCACAAAAGGCCTCCACTCACAGGCATGTTGAATGAGATGCTTTTTGCCTCTTACCGTCACAAATGATTTCGCCAATTTGTAGTGTAAGGCACGGTTTCACCTGATGGTTTTTCGGCATGGGGCCTGAGCCCAAACGACCATACTAGTTCGGGACCTCAGGCGAAGTGTTGCAATAATTTCGGGAGATGGCGGGAGGTTACAGGCTAGGCTTTCTCCGAGCTTTCTCCTCGAGAGATAGCAATGCCTTGGCACCTGCCAGCTTGGACAGCGCCACAGGTCTGCCGACATCCTGCACGGGCATGCACGTTGACACCCAGGCCTTCTGTACCAATTTACCAACATAACATACACATACATACAGATATAGTGCATCACGTCCTGCTTGTTCACATACAATCACATACATACATGCATGGGCGCAGGGTCGGAAAACGACCTGAGTTTCGCTAGTTTACGAATAGGTCCATGGCATTCCCTGAACAATCAAGAAATGCATAGACGCCCAAACCAGTTCAACCAACACCCCAAAATTACCAGGAGGAAAATATTGACTAGAAAACCCAGAAAAAAGAAACGAACTACCCAACACCAAGATGACCAATATCCCGGCGGAAATCCAACACCAACAAAGCAACAAAAAACGAAAGAACTAACATCAACGCAGCCCAGGAACGATCCAAAAACAAACAAAACAAAGGCACAAATTTCTTTGGTTCTGGTTGTCTTGGTTCTGGGATTTTCTTTGTCGTGGTTTTGCTTCGTCTGGCTAGCATCCGTTGGCCAGACTGTCTGTTCAGCTGGCACGTCCCCAAGGAGTCTCCAGGAGATGTTACCCCAAAGGCTACTCATACTCCGCACCTGACTTGGTACCGGGGCGTGCATGCCATGACATGCGGCCTGCCCAGGGAGGGCGTCATGTCCACGAAGCACTCGCCACCTGGTAGCTTCGGGCCTATACAGTATCTTGCGGGACCGACTAGTTCATGAGAAATGCAGACACCTAGCGGGGATGTGCTGCGCTCCCACAAAACCGCAAACCGCCTGGGCTGCCACTCTCCCGGTCGCCGTGGTAGGCAGGCAACCTGCACCAAGAAAGCATGGCATAGAGGAAGTATTCGGGAGGATGATCATCTGATTCGTTGTTGGGACCATCAGATCGTCAAGAGGTCAGCAGGCCGTCATTGTGAGCATCGGATTTCCCATCACGACCTCAAAGAGGCTCTTCTGCATACTGCCGCAACCGTCTCCAGCCTCTCTAGACACAGGCACCCTCGGCTGTGCGGCAATTCGTTCATCTTCACGCGTGGCCAGTGCCAGACAGAGCCTGAATATCTGGCGAGGGCTCATCGAGCGAAACGCTTCTCGAACGTCACCCAGACCCAGGAGAAATCACGAGCGAGCTGGCATGTCCGTTGGCAGAAAATGCCCTCACCGTGTGATGCCCGTTTGCACAATTACGACTCTCGATGGATCTCGTGAAAGTGCAACCAGGGCACCTGATGCGCAGCTCACCCTCTACGCCCAGAGGGAGGCACTCTGGCAGAACAGGGCACGATGACGTCGGATTTTGAGAAAGTGCAACTCTGCGCCGTCCTGCAACACAACGTCCGACCCGAACTGGAGCTCAGTGTTTTTAAAGAGTGCGTCAACCAACTCTAATGCGCCTCGCGGTGCGAAGCGTTGCGCTCTGCAGGGTCCCGCAGCGCAATGATGCCAGCCCCGCAAGAAATGGACGTTCGCAGAGACCATGCAGACATGGAACGAATTGAAACTACGTTTGTTCTGCCTTGCATGCACACATGGAGAGACGCGCACTTGTGGCTCAGAGCAGCTCCAATTCCGTGTAACAATGCGTGCATGGTCTTGAAGGCTCCAAGCAATGGATAGCAATGGCGTGAAGTTCTTGTTGCAATCTCGTGGCTCACCCGGCACCGGATCACTCTGCGAGAAGTCGTACCTAGCTGTCCAAACCCCCATTGACCTGAGGCTGGTGCGGATGTTCTGAAACTCGCCAGCAGTGGGCAGCTCCATCTGATGCATCACACAAAGGCGTCTTCACAAAACGGCATGCCTGAAAGCCACGAGGAGGCGCAATTTGGACAGAAGCGATCCTGAGTAGCTGCTTGGGCCGCTTGGTCAGCCAAGTGTTCTGCAAGCTGTCGCAGACCAGCACCTAAGGGCGGCAACTGCTGGGAATTTCGCGATGCTGCATGCTCTACATGAACCCATACTGGCCCGTGAGGCTGCCGCAAGCTGTGTGATGGACGCTGGCCTGGGCGCGATTCCAAGAAGCAGGATGCCTTGGGCCTTGGCGGCCTTGGGCCCCGAAAAGAAAGGAGCTGGCATTCGAGGAGTTGTGCAAGCTGTACAGCAACCTCACAGGAATGCAACACAAGTCATGTGTTTGGCAGTGCGCAGTTGCTTCAATCCCTGGCAGTAGCCAACAAAAGCCAAAATGCTGCATCAACTGCTCCACCACCGTCTCGTTCAAAAGCTTGATGTGAGACCTTCCCGGGAAACCCTGTGCTCCCCATCAATGTCCATTGCATGCACTGCGCACAATCCATACGGCCACTACCGCACGCTGGGTCAATGACGGCGTCGCCATGATTGTTTGTAAAACCTTGAGCTGCACCTCCACAAGCAGTGGTCCCTTGAAGCTAGCTGACAGTTGAGAGATTCAGAATTAAGGTGCGCACTGTCTCATCGCCATTCGCTGCCTGGTGAAATCAAAATCTTATTCTTGGGCCGGGCCTCTCCAGCTTCCAGCGCTGCCACTGCGAGAAGTTACGTGTAGTGAGTCTGCACTGGTCGAAAATCCTCCGCCCCGCCCCTTTACTGTTGGAGATGCACTCTTGATCACTTCAGGCCTGCTCCTTCATGAGATTTACCACAATAGCAATTGTCTCTTCTTTCAGCGCTTCTCGATGGATCAGCCTCGCCCAACTGCGAAGTTCGGAGCAATCGGCGCCACAAGAAATGCATGCTTGTCCTGACTGGTCACGTGCCTCTGCAAACAAGAGAGCGAAATCATCACGATCTTGTTGTGAAAAGTTTCGCAGGCCTTAGTCGAGTCTCGCAGTGAACGTCGCTTTCACTTCGTGCTACAAGATGCCGCTCAGCTTGGAGCCATGAGGATGGCTCGCAAGACCTCGTCCAATGGGAAGTCGGACGTGCCCAGGCTAGAGCCTCCGTAATCAATCGCGAGAGCCTACAGTTGGCGTTATTCCGCGGACCCACCCCCCCCCGCCTGAGCCATGCCCGTTTCTCGAGGCATCTTCTCTGTGATGCCGGATCTTCAAGATGGCTCTATCCGTGTACTCCTGGGGGCGCATGTTCTCTCCTTTTCGCTCGAGCAGCCTTCTTCCGGGCGAATGCCTTGATGATCGGATACTTCTTCCGGCATTCCTGGCCTCCGAGCCCGAAAAGATCGACAGAGCCTCTAACTGTGCGCAGCGAGGACGAGACTCAGCTCACGAAGCTCGGCTTCCACTTCCTGACCTTATGGGCAGCAGGGATAGCCAGAGCTGCCATCTGTACGGTGCAATAAGGCCTGGACAAACCTGCATCTGGAGTGCATCGAGGCACCGGTCACACCAAGCGTGTACTCGCCCTCAGCCTTCCGGCAAGCCCACTTGATCATGCGAGATCTCCAGCAGACACCGGGATCCGGGAGGCACGCCGTCTGAAGGGACGGACCATTCCTTTTGAAGGCGTCGCGCATGAGACCGCTTCTGTTAGGTTACCCCTCTGGCTCCGTTTGTCTAGGGTTGGCAGCAGCTGCAACTTAAGTTAGCGAAGAGCTTATCTGTGGCATCTGCCGAGACAAAGCTCCAGCCACGTGGGTCAGCTTTGCTCTCGCATGTGAGTACAGCACAAGACCCGAACACACAGCGTAAGCTGTACAGTTTTTACTGGGAGGACCGGACTTATGGCAGGATGCATGTGCCCTGCATTGCACTGAAAGCCGTACCGGCAAGCCAGCAACTTGTGGCATCAATGCTGTCCGCTGTCTTCGTGTTGCGAGGAGCGCCCTTTTCGCTCCAGCTTGGCAAGCATCGCTGAAAGTCTCCTTCCTAATGCGATTGAAAAACTTTGCCCGACTTGGTGGCGCGGCACCCCGAAAGAATTCAAGGCTCACCTTGCTTGCAAAGCATGGATTGGCTCTGTAGTTTTCTTGGGTTCATCGTGACACAGGCATCCTTTAATTCGCATTCTGGTTCGCAAGCGCATGCTCCGGGGGTCGGAGTAAATGGACCATATGTTCCGTCCGCCGCCTGCCCCGGGAGCGTTCGGATGGACTGGTGCCTGAGCCAATGCGGGACAGTGTGGAGGCGAGGCTCAGCCAACGTCTCGCAGCAAGGACTCGTGCTGCCACGAGTCGCTTGGAAGCTATCGTAGATGTGGCCACCACTTGAAACCCAACCTTCTCTGCAGCATCTGCGGTGCAACGAAGGTTGTCAAAAGCACCTTAAGCCAACACACTGATCTTTCACCGAACGAGCAGACTCCGTGACTGGCAGTAGAATGGCAAAAAAAATCATGTGAACTGCATTCGCTACAGCAGCTGCATGTTGATGCCTTCATACGCCTTCCCTCCCCTTTGTTCTCGTCATACCGGCTGAGATGGCACTGAAACACTTGCGCAACTCAGGATGCAACCGTCCTCGCTTGCATCTCTGTCACCATCGCCGATCATCAGAGAAGCGGTTCCTCGCCAGTCACCCCGAAAGATGACAGATATGACTACAGCCTACAGCTTTGGATGCTGAAGCGTGGCTGTGGGGAAATCCCTCGTCCTCCTGGCAGCAAAAGGCTCCAAGCAGCTTGGAGCCACTGCTCTTGCTCGCGCCGCCATGATGCTGCAAACTCCTCCCGTCTCTCCCGTCTCAGGTGCACCGGCGCTCACCGAGGCAAGCATGGATCCATGCCTCAAAGCTGCGCTTCTGCCACAGGGTTCGTCGTCCAATTTCTAGCCGTTTCTCCTCTGAGGTGAGCCTGCACCTCGAGGCAGAAAGGCAACAAAACTCCCCATGCACACCCACAGCTCTCTGCCTGGATCCCAAGATGGGCGATACTGACTCTGCTGTCGTCAGGTAGTCGTAGACACCAGGATATGGAGGACTGGTAATGATCGCATGCACCGGCTTTGCCAAACGCAGGTCCTAGAATCAGGATCGAGGTGCTTGCAAATTTGTTACTGCCGGCCGAATCTAACGTCGCAGCTCATCACAGCCTGGCACAAGCTCAGCGAGCAGTCTAGTTGTATTAGCTGTATTTTCAGGAGTGTCCTGCGGAAGCCCGTGCGAGCCGACTGGAGATGCTGGTCTTTTTTGGTTTGTCCCGGTTTTGCTGTTAAATAGAGCAAAGGCAAAGGCTAGCAGCTAGCAAAATCTGACATACAGTGCCGAGCTTCTCTGAAGTCCCCTTGGATCACTTCCGCCCGTCTGCCACTGCACGCCCGCAACGAACGCAACCGTGCCATAACCAGTCGGGCTGTGCCCCGAAACCGCGGTGCCGCCTCCTTCAGCTGAACTTGCTGAAACCTCGGGGCAAAAGCAATCAATCCCACTCCCCAAAGCCAAGCACCGCATTTGCTATCGCAGCCGCTTCTGCCCAGCAACTTGTCCGAGGACCGCAAATACTTGTCGTCGGCAGATGCTTGGGAAGCGACCAAGTATGTGAACTGCAAACCTCTTCGAACGGCCTTACTTGACAGTGTATCCGTGTAACCTCACTTGACAGAGTAAACCGGAGCTGACAAATGCGTCGAGAGCAAGAAGCAAAGCTTCGGGCAGAATCGTCCAATGCGATGATGTTTGTCTGGAGCTGCTTCCACGGATCCCTCAGTTCAGCAGGACTCAGCGGCACACCATGGACACCTACAGCACCAAGCCACCGTGTGTGACACAACCACACGCAAATCTGCGACGTCCATGAGAACAAGCTGGCTTGTTCAGACTGGTCACGCGCTCAGGCTGATACCACGAACCACCTGCATCACCGCGGCATCAAAAGCCGCCAAATCCATGTCCTGGAGACGGGTGGCCAACCACATGCACCTTCAGAGTAAGTTGCTGCATCATCGGGCAGCCAGCTGCGATATCAACCAGTCGTGCGACATGCCCGGAAGCTTGCCAATGTTGATTTGAGATAGCTCTCGGGTTCAAGGTGGGCAAAGCTTCGACAGATGGTCCTCCGCATCCACATGCTGCGAAGCTACGAAACTTGCCAGCGGCGACAGGTCCTGCAAACGAGTCTGCGCGGGCTGCTTGATGCTGCCGGCGCCGCCGGACTACCGAGTGTGAGCTTCAGTCAGCAACTAGGCACAAGATGACACAGGTTCAGTTCTCGCTTGGACAGAGCAGGCTGCCGTAATTTTTGAAGCCAAGAAGCCAACACAATCACTTTGTGAGTCTTCCATGTTCATCTCAATATGCACCACAGCAAATTAGGTGAATTAGGTCATTAGGTGGCAGGATGCGTTCAAATGTGGACACAAGGGTGGCAAGGAATAGTGGCAAGGAATAATCCCAGGACGTGGCACTGCTGCTGTTCTCGTCGTTGTTTGCCAATTTGCTATGCAATGTTGTGCTGACTGTTCCAAAGTCTGCGATTACCATGCTGCGGTTTTACTCAAGTGTTCGTGGGCCTGCTGCTGTTGCAAGCATTGCGTTGCTGATCACTTCCTGCTTCGTGCTTTTTGGGTCGGTCTGGCAGGCTTAGCAGTAAAACGCTCTTGCTTTCTGCAGCTTTGTGGCGCAGCCGATTGCCGGTCTTCCCGAAGTGCAGGCTTCCTGGGCTGAATTGCTGCACATGCGGCAAGGGCGATGTAAAAACTGTTTTCAGTCGAAACTCGATAAGGACTGTCCCAGAGCCACAAAACGGATCCAGGACAGAAGCATGCTCCACCACAAGACTGAGCAACTCTCGAGCCGCCATCGCTTGCATTCCGGCCATGTACTTGTACCTGACATGCAGGAACGGAATGTATGCGAAAATGTGCGTAACGAGACAGGGCACAGTCCGTGAGTGAGTTGGTCCTCTCCTGGAGGTAGAAGAGGATACCCAAGGAGCCACTGGTGTTCCTGTTGCACATGGCACAGCAAAGCGATCGTGCACGAATGCAGAAACATAATCAAGACAAGTAAGGCAGGCGGGGCTTCAGTGCTTATAATGGCCGCAGGTTCAGCTTCGTCATCCAGGCACTGACTCCATAAGCGAGCGGAGACATATAGGACTCTGTATCAAAGCGGAACTCTGACCAAAGAACCTCAAACTTCGGACAGCCACACCTGCCCGAGTCGTTGCCCCACTCATTCTTTCACACAGCAACCAGCCTGTTGCCTGACTGCAAAACATCTGTAACTGAACTGCCTACACTTCTTGAAATCGTGCAGGCAGGCGTCCAGGGCGCGCTCTAGGCAAGCAGTTACCTCAGTGACTCAGCGAGAAGACGGCCACGAAAGTTGGTAAAACTATGTAAAACTCGTGTGGTATTTCGCGTTCGTGCTCGACACTCTAAACATGCGTAGACAGGAGAAGCACTTGCCTGGTGTTTGATAGAATCCCGCCAGGTCCACGCACTTAATTATCCTGCGTAAACATACATCAAGTGAAGAAGTCAAGTAACGTCAATGAACAATGAGTAATGTACAAACTGCACAATCGCATTGCCGCAGCTCCCGAAATTGCGGAGGGTTGGAGGACCGAGAGCTCTGGCAGGAGGCCACTGCAGGATCCGCAGGGGCGGGGGGCCTGGAGTGGGCAGTGCCCACCCCCACCAAGTTTGCACAACGTCACGGTCACCGCAGGACCGAATAAGCTCTCAGACACAATTTTGACTTGGGTCACTGCTTAGTTGAATTCAATCAAACAGGCAAAGCATGGCAAAGCCACGAAGACAAAAAGAACCACCAAATGCTCCGACTGACGAACAAGCACAACCCTGAGGCTCCGAGGACTCTGCTTCCGCCGGACCGACAGAGTGCAATTCAAAAGGCTCCGTGTCAGTGCTGTCAATGTGACCACGCCTCAGCAAGCGGAGAATGGATGCTCCCAAGGCAGCCAAGCCCGCTCAGGCCCATGCCACTGCAACTGCTGTAGATGCGGCCACAGAGCCAACACCTGCGTGTAGTGGCAGATAACATCAGTAATGGCAAGGGCACCATCAGTAGCTGGCAGCACCAGTCGTTGTAGCACTGTGGAGCTGCCGGAGCCCAACACAGCGCGTAAACCGCATCGTCTAAACTAAATCTCGCACTCCAACCAAACCGCTTCATTCATGAGCCTGTCTCCATTGCCCCCGGCGCTCGCATGCTCCCATCACAGCACTGCAGCCAACTGCATCGGCCTTTGCAGCCCAGCACTGGCAAGCACAGCCCAGACTTCAGCGAAGACAGAAGGCCTATGGGCACAGACGAGCCTCATACCTCAACGACATCATCGACGAGAAGACGGACAGCGACTGCTCCTGCTTTGCGGAGGGCGCAGTTGCATCTTCAGGAGCCCAAGGTAGCCCGAGACCGGTCCCAAATGCTGGCCGCAGAGAACGCATCAATGAGCAAGCACCGAGCAACAGCACCAGGTTGGCCAACAGAGGCTTCGAGCAAACGATAAAGGTGCAGCGCCGATTCCTGAAAGTGGTCAGGCTGCCCAACCGCATTCCGAAGTTCATTCTTAACTTAACCGATGCTGAGCTTTACATAAGACTGTAGCGATGCTGGCAAGGCTCCCAGCGACTTGACTTTTCGCATGCACTCATCGTGGCCGTGCAACACATTTCGTTGAGCTCGAGATGCCACTTGCCCATGTCCACGAAGGCTTGCAGAGCCTGGTCCTGAGACTAGGAATCGCCTAATCCTGGGTGGGAGAAGCTGCGTAAGAAGTTCGCACGTGCGTACTCTATCGTACTCTGAGGTGCTTGGCATTGCTTGTCTGACTTGATGGTTCGCGGTTCAGGGTGCCGGACCACAACAGCAATTAGAATCAAAAAATTGGTCCCCCTGGGATCACATGAACATCTAAACAGGATCAGGCATGTCCCACTTCGGGAATCAAAAAGAGGCTCCGCACATCCGATTATTTACAGCAGATGCAGCTTATCGGATCCAGCGTCCCATTTATTCTGGATTCCGAGTTTTTACAGAGGTGCGCGCCCGGGGCTGAACATACTAGGACTTGGACCCCTTGTTGATCTCGATCGCAGCAGTACTTGGAGGAAACGATTCTGGGTGTTCCTCCGGATCTCGCACACTAAAGAAGGGGAAGCATAAGTCGCCTGCGCCCGAAACGCGCCAGCAGTTTCGCGCTGGCCCTCGAGCCGCCAGTACTTGGTGGAAAATGATTTCGTCGTGTGTGTCTGAATCCTGCCATTACATGGGGGAAGTCATCCGAGGCGTGGTTTGAATGCACCAGTACTTGCGGGAAGGCGTTTCGGCGATGTCCCGGTGTTGTTTCGTGGTGGTCTGGGTGGTCTCCTGGCCCTGGTCGTTGTCATCATGGTCGGCGTGGTAGTCCTTCGTGGATGGAAACATGGCGTAGATGCTGCGACCTTTGTTCTCCTACGCAATTGTCACCATGGCCTGTTTCTGGTGTGGTCTTTCACGGTTTGGGGATCTCCGCTGGCATAATAATATGAATAATGCAAACTGTACTGATAGAAATAAAGTCAATAACAATAATTATATATAATTATGCTAACTGCTAATAATCATGGAAAAAGGAAAAGAAACAGCACAAAAACTAATACGAATAATACGATTAACAATATTTTTCCCCCTCGCACAGTATTGATCATAATGTTAGGATTCTACATGCAATAAAAATAAAAATGGCAGTAACAGTAAATATAATGACTACCCATGACAATTAATAACAATACCCATTTAGTACCATTATTTCATTATTATGATTATTATTGTTATTATTATTATTATTATCACGATTATTATTACTACTACTACTACTACTACTACTACTACTACTACTACTATTGTCATTATTATAAGTGTTCATACGGAAAATATTAATATATTGTTGCTAGTACTATTGCGACTCTTCTGCTTACTATTCCTGTTAGTATTCTTAGTTATCATTAGTGTTCATGCTAATAACAACAAAATAGAAATGCGAATGATCGCACAATTAATGCAAAGAGTAATCATAATACTAATCGGGATAATGGTAATAAATAATAAGCCTAGCAATACTAGAAGTACTAGCAGTAGTAGTCGTCGTCATCGTCGTCACAATGGTAAGAACACTAAGAACAATCATTCTAGGAATCATAAGAATTGTAATAGCGGCACTGTCAACACTCCTATCACTGCAATAATAGCTGAGAGTAGTGGGGGTAAAACTAGCTGCTAAGGTTTTTCTTGATCCCGTGTAAACTTCTTCTGATTCTGATTCTGATACTGATTAAGCTTATTGCTAATATTTGCTAATCCTGTGTTAACCCTGACCTGCGTGACTGTCTTTTGATCCGCATGTCCATGGCAGTTGCCACGGCTCGCCTAGTTCCACAGGCAGTGTACTACCTGCCCGTCAAGGTTTGAGAACCGTTAGGCAGAATGTCGCGAAAAGACCCTGCTTCTTCCGGTTCCGGATTCGCGATTCCAGACCAATGTTTCACAATCGAGAGGCCCACTGTGTCTGCCGCTCGCACGCAGTGATGACAGCACCTGATGCACAGGCGCAGCGAGTGCGGCGAGCTCTTGGTCTGCAGGCGATTTCTTGCAACTTCCGTTGCTGGCGAAGGGCTGCAGACAAAAGCATCCAGCTGCAACTCTGATGTGCTCGCACATTGGAGGAGATGTACAGCCTGGGTTTTTCATCATCGAACCCCGTAGGCTACCTGCTTAGCAGCTCATGTTTCCACACATTCTATGGCCAAGGGTCCATCTGCCAGTTGACCCGTCCGCAGTAACCAATGGTCACCTAATTTGCATGGTGTCCCTCCGCCATGTTTGCGATGGAACCCAAGACTGGCTGCCAAAGTCACGAAATAGGCGGATGCGTCGCACAGCCCTGCATCCGCTAGGGAGCTCAGCACTTTCAGTGAAAGCTGCCATTGAGCGTCCTGCAGGCTGCAGGCGAGTGCAGCCGGCTGCCGAACTCTTCGCAATTCGAACCTTCTCACCGGCTTTGATGCAGGCGTCTAGCGTCGCCTTGGAAGCACAAGCAAAGCCACAAGCCCCTGCCAGCAAAATCGGCCTCAAGAAAATGTCAGAGGTCTGAAACAGAAAATGCACGATTCATAGCATGTGATCCACAGGACCGTGCCTGACTGATCCGTAGTTGTGTCTGCAGAGCTTGTTGCAGCAGCCCGAAGGCAACCAGCCAGTTTCGCCCTGACGGGAGGATGCGAAGGCTGGGTGATGTGACCAAAAGGGCCCGGGTAGCACTTAGCGCCTTTGGAGCAAGCACGGATGCATAGCGCATGGTTGGCTGCCGTCTGCGCCTGCGCGGTTTGCAGCTCGGCTGTTGTGTTTTCCTGTCACACTCTACTTTGCTTGCGGGACAGATGGCACAAATATCATTTAATTACAGCCTCAACCTGAAATCCCTTCCCCTGTTTATCTCTTGCGCACTTCCTGCTGACATCTTTTGCAAACAAGACTGCGCACTCGTTGCTCGCGCGCTTGAAGCCTAGCACCTGGCAGCTACGTCGCCCAACGATGCTGACAAAGCAATGTAGGCTGCAAGGCACCGCAATGCGAGGAGAAGGTGTCTGTACATTCTGCACGCATGCTAGGAACCGCCCAACTCATAAGGCCGGACGAGTTGGCAGGTCACAGCAACACTTCAAGATACAGTGCAGCAGACGGCATGAGCAAGGCCACAAGAGTTTCCATCAGGCAAGCTGCAAGCTCGTCTCACCTTCATAATATGTCCATCAGTGTGAAGTTGTTGTCGCCCCAGTCCCTCCGCCCACACCCCGCCCTCCCAAATCCGTCACAGCCGCTGCAGCCCCACCCGCCCATGCCCACACACAATGTATCTGCTTAAGCCTCGGCCCAAGCACATGCACACATGCGCGCTTGCCCTTGAGAGTGGTGGGTTCGAGCAATGTCGGGTTTCGTGGACAGTGGGGCTGCGGGGGGGCGCGGGGGGGCGCGTGCCGGGCGGCATGGCGCGATGCTGGCAAGTCAAGCTTACCTGTAAGGAGGGGTCGCTATGCAACGTCCTACACTCCATTCGAGGATCAAGCAGATGCATGAGGATTCAAACCTCCATTGAGGGACGGTGGCGCGGGCGTGGTCCAGGACCCGCGAGGCTTGCAATGGCTCAGGATTCGGTCAAGCGGGGTGGAGGTTTGACGAAGGGAGGGCAGGCGTAGGCAGACCGTCCAAGGAGTCTGGCTCCACACCGCTTGCCTGGTATGAACAGGCAACGCTGAGCCTTGGTGCTGGTGATGGAAACCACCAGCGTCATGGCTCAGCGTCAGCATCACTACACCTCCTGCTGCCACCCAAGCTGTGCTGTAAGAGCAAACCATGACTACCACATGAAGCCTAGGTTCATCCGCTGTTGGGCAGAGGTTACGATCATGTGCATGCAGTCACTTTGGCTTTCTGCATCATGACAGCGGGAAAGGAGGTTCCGTTGCCCACGTAACTGCGTTAGTTTACGGGTTTCCCCGAACCGATTCTGAGCAGCCGCACGGTGAAGCGCAGTAGTAACCTGGTCCCACATGTCCCACTAGGCAATATCACTAGGCAATATGGCGCAAAGGGTTGATGAAGGAGTCAGTAGTGGTCTTTCTTCTTCGCGGCTTTGAATTGCTGGATCGCCCGTACTTTTCGCCAACAAGATGCGAAGGCTTGTTCTAAAGAATCTTGTCTTGCAAGGCTGCGATTGTAGACATGTTCTCGGTGTTTGCAATCGCAGTCCCGAGTTTCACCGTCTTACCATTTGGATGGGATGTATCGAAGTTCCACTCCAACCCAAACCAACCGAAACAGTTAACCCGAGCCGCAAACGTTTCCCCAGCTTTGGCTGCCTCTCCGCTTCCAGGAGCCACGCCGGAACCTTCGGAATTTCGCTGACGAAAGTGCTATCTCTGCGACCGCGGCGTTGGAAGTTTGCTTGGGACAGGCATCACAGTCCAACAACAGGAAATTTCGCCTGAAAACCGTGGCAGGGTGGCAACTCCTGGCTTCTTCACGTGAAATCGAACATATGCCATCTGTGCCCAAAATCATCAGTTTGGGGCTTAATATTCCGAGAGCGCGACCACCTCGAAGCGGAAAAGCCCGAAGGCACGATTTTTGCAAAACGGAGACACAGAATCAAGGATCTGAGCGGTGGCAGGCCACAGACACTCCAAGATGGCTGGCGCGCACATGCAAGTGTCGAAAGCATAGGCATGAATCAGGCCAGCGGAGCTGCACCTGGCTATTGCTTCCAAGGGACGAGTGGAAAGCTGCTGCAACACGTCCAGTGCCGCTTGCCAGGCACTGCTCCGCTCACAGGCGCTGATTGCTGCACTCGTGCACGCAATGCCCGGCCTGACCTGCCCAAACCCGGTGCAAGCCTCAAGACACGAAGGTAGGAACGAGTGTACACGCAACATCGGCTGCAAAGCTCTTTCCAGCCTTAAACCGGCCGCACATCTCCTCCAAGATTCCACATACTTGCAGCCACTGAAGGCCCTCACCGTAGACATGGATCAGGCTGGTGAAGGTCGCTTCGCTTGCTTGAAGCTGCAGACCATCCATGCCTGGGAGCTTCAACATAATCTGAAAGACAATCAGCATCCTTCTAGACTTCTTTCCGAAGCAACTTGAGTTCTTGCTTCTGCCAGTCAAGCGGCCCTCAAGCAGTGACTGCGCAATCTTCCAGTTTCCGTTTAGGTGCGAAATGCACGAATTGTATGCGAGAGAGTCCTCAAAGAATCACAGGCAGCGGTGGTGTCGTGTCTGTCTGAGCTGTTTTAACTCGAGCACTTGGATTCTGCCCAGGAGCTGCCAAACTGCGATCAGTCATGTCCGAAAGAAGGCTCAGTGCATGCTCCCAACGACCTCAACATTTCGAGAGGGCAGGCTTGACCCCTTTTTTCAGCTGCAAGAAGGAGCGAGCAAAGCTATAACAGAACCAAGATTCGGCCACAAGCTCTAGTAGCAGCCATGTAGGTTACAGCCGAATATTCCAGCCTGCAAAGAAGCATCGGTTGAATCGACTGCCCGACGACGAACGAACAATGTCGCCACCCGGATGACAGAAAAACTTACTTAGCTTGCCAGAACTCCTCGTGACAAGCATTTCCTCCATGAGTGCAAAGGCCATCTGCCACTCCATACCTGCACAGTGGGCTATGAAGGCATCTTCGCTGCCGTCCCCTTGCAGAAGAAGCTAAAAGCAGGGCTTGGAGGTTTGCATTGAGACAGCACCTAAAACAGCACAATTCGCAGACCAGGCACATACCCCGCAGGCTGCGATGCAGCCATTTACAGTGCGGGTCCCGGTTGGGATTCTGCCTCGGTCAGGGGAGCTGGAACCACCTCAAAGTGTTGCGGACCAGCCGCCGCACAACTGCGTCCGCGTGCTGGGGCAAGTTGCGTGAGCTCATGCTATCGAAAAGATGAAGCGCGGCTTGCCACAAGCCACCAGTTTCACAAGCATTGATGCACGCATTGTAGCTTATTGTGTCTGGAGCCGTATCCTTGCATGGGGAGGCTACCATTACTTCCTTTGTCCGAGCTTCATGACAACGCACCGTGAAGGCACCCAGCCTCAGGCATTGCACAGAGGAAGGTGATAGCCAGCTGCCACTCAGAAGCCTGCGAGCCGATGTTGGGGCTCAGGAGAATTCTGTCTAGCGAACATAACAGTAAGCCACGATTGCCCTCTGGAACACTTTGAGTTGATACTGCACAGATTTCCGCGGAGCTTGTCCTCTGTATCACTAACTCGTACTAGTACTACCACTACTACGACTACTACTACTACTACTACTACTGCTGCCGCTGCTGCTGCTGCTGCTGCTGCTGCTTACCACCACTAACACTACTGCTACTACTACTACTACTACTACTACTACTACTGCTACTACGAAAGTACTACTACTGCTACTGCTACAACTACTACCACTACTACTGCTACCACTACGACTACTAAAACACAATTGCTCTCACACAAGTGTTTTAGGAAAGCCAAACGCTTGTTTAGTGATGCTTGTGATTTATTGAAAAAAATATGCAAGGGCATTTGGGGTCTATAAGGTATATATAGAGAAGCAGTAAGATCCTTTGTTTCAGTCTCAGCACGGTCTCGCTCGTAGGCTCACAGCACAGACATCCACAAGTGAGAGATGGTTACCCAAACTTTTTAAACCCTAAGGACTCCATAGTATATAATCTTATAAACCCAAATAGTCCTTTATATTTAACCCGAAACCTTATATCTGGTCCCGAAATACCCCTGGTGGCTGGCGAGCACGATGTATCCTACACTCTTCCTAACCCTATATACAGTATATAACCCTTAATCTATATACGTAGTCTATAAGGGGTGTAGGATTTTATTGGATGCATCTCAAAGTCCAGCCCTTTTGTAAAGGACTTTGCAAGCACAAAGATATCGCTCGATCGTGTTTCGGCTGGCTATCTTTGGTGAAACACGGCGACTGATGCGGCTGACTTTTCCTATCATGTCTTCCTTGCCCTCGCAATTAAAGACTGCCCCATCATTGAAAATTACGTCGTGGCCCACGTCAACCTGCTGTTGCAGCTGCATATCCACCAAGGTGTGGTGGTAGTAATGCACCTTCGGCTTCAAGGAAAAATACCGCTTTCTGTCTCCCATGCACACGTTGGCCAAAAACACATATCCTCTCAGCAGGCGAGCTGCTGCTGGATCGTGGCATTGGGTGGCATTGCTGGAACCGGTGCTGCGATTGCGGGATGCTGCTGGATCGTGGCATTGGGTGGCTGCACCGCCGTGGGATGCTGCTGCCCTGGAACCTTCGCTGGCAGCTGTTCTGGTGGATGCATTGCCTGCTGTGTTGGAACTGCCTGCTGCTGCTCTTGTTGCGGCGGATGCGCCTGCTGCAGCTGTTGCGGTGGATGGATTGCCTCCTGCTGGGGAACTGCCTGCGGCTGCTCTTTTTGTCCTGCGACCCTCGAAGCTATATCGGGGAAGGGCTGAAGAAAGGTGCACGAGCGTTTGTGTTGGCTGATAAAAGCTGATGCTCGAAGACGAAGTTGCAAGTCCAGGCCTTGAACAGCCAGCGGCGCCAATGTCAAGATCGCTGGCGGAAATTCTGCTCGCAGCGCGTACGTGATGGACGGTCGTGGACCTGTCGTCGGCGCAGGCTTGGTGGGCCTCCACCATGCCAAAGCCACACTGCTCGTGCGGCCGACCGGCGCCGAGCTCATGATAGGCTCACTGAACTGGACTACGAGTACCAGTTCGAAAGCGAACGTCGACTGCAGCGTGTACTGCTGCCACGGGCCTGGATGACGCGAAGCCGCCGGCTGGCTCAGCGCGACAGCAGGTAGTGCCGAGAGTTCTGGGACACTTTTGCCGCGGTCTGGCCGGGCCCGAATGGCGAATTTGCCACAGTGGCTGTTGCTGAGGTTTGGCGCGAAGCCGTGAATCCAGGCAGTCCGCGGCAGTTGTCTGCGCGACTCTTTCAGTCGTCGCCAACAAAGAGCTCGGCCAGCCGGCCCTCGTGAAACTCCACCCGGAGTTCTCCTTGTGCAGCTGGCCCAGTAAACGCTCACGACTTGCGGCCCTTGGGCGCGGTAAGCTTGCGGACCTGTAGGGTCGCGGCTCACCGTGAACAGGCAGCCGTAGGAGTAGCTGCACATAGAGCGCCGTAGGCTGGGTTACCGTAGCCTGTAGTGTTCCTTTCCGCGGCTCACTGAGCAGACAGCTGGACAGTTCTTCCAGAGCCTCACCTGTGGAGAAAAGAGGCCTGAGCGAGCACTTGTGGACGGGTCGTTTTGACGCGTGAGTTCGTCGTCGGTCGTTACATGCTGGCTTCGCCCAGCCGCCGTGCGACTCCTGCGTACCCCTCCGGGCATTTTGCTATGCCCGACACAACATCCAGGAGCCTCGTCTCAGGGGCGACTGTGAGCTGTCATGAGTGCATGCGCCCATGCTGCAGGAACACGCATGCCGTGACATGCCCTGTCTGCAGAGCTGCCTATATTTCTTGAGTGTGCATGTTCGTACAGCTCAAGCCTTGAGCTTGAGGTTGTTGTAACTTGCTTTCTAGGTTGTGCTAAGCGTGCACGGACGCCAACGTAGCTCGTGGAGTTGCAGGCCTGCTGTTGGACGCAACGCGGCCCTACCTAGGGACTGGGAGAGTAAAACAGCCGGGCTGTCCGAGACTGCTTTGCAAGTCTTGTATAGCCGGCTTCACATACCACTACCAGTGTCACCCGTATTGAATGCAGCTTGCATACTTGCAGAAAGCACGAAGCCAAACGGGGAAGAAAGACAACAACCATCCCCTCAGAAAAATCCCACTCCCATTTCAAGTTGGTCCCAACGGATGAAAAATGCCCTGCCTTGCTCAAAGCACTCAAGCACGCATTGCAGGTAATAAGGTCGCAGTCCACAAGACAGCCCTGCATGGTTTCCAAGACCTGCAGCGCACTTTGCCACTGGCCGCCCTTGTCACAAGCACTGATGCAGGAATTGAAGAGCACAGTGCTCAGCTCCACCTGTGCGAGGGTCTGTTGCTGCAGGCTCGATGCTTGATACTGACCCGTATACAGTATGCACATGCCAGCTGCAGCAGGCATCCAAACGCAGATGCTCTTGCTTGCAAAAAACCACCAACGTCAGTCGTAGCAGTAGTGGCCCAGTGTTGTCCAGGCTTTGTCACCCTGTTGAATTGATATGAGGGCCAGTTGCCGAGAAAAGTCTACAAACCTCGCGGTCGGCGCATTCTGCATGCCGAATCCACTCACCCGAACAAGCTTACATACCAGCCGACTGCTAATGGCCCTGTTAGGTAACATCTCAAACCGCGTCTGCTGCCAACTCGCTCGCTCGTCTATGGAGCTCATTATGGGCTTATAAGCTTCTAAGGTCGCGGAACGTGAGGCTTCTTTGCCTGAGTAGAGTAGCGCCAACACTCCACAAAAAGATGTCAAGCTATCATCAAATTCGCTCATCGGATTCATCGGCCTCGCACGATTCAACTTGGCCGAGAAGGGCAACTGCCACTTGCCACTGAGCTGATTTGGCGCAAACGTCCATGCAGGCATTGAAGTGCACCATATTCCTCTCCACTAGCGAGCCTCAGTAGCAAATGTTGGAATCGAACCTCTGCCTCAGCATCAGCATGCTGAACCGCTCAATGGCACCGGCAGTGCCAGCTGCTTGTTGCAGCTCGGGTGCTCGTCATGCCGATGAGGAAGCCAAGGGCATTCTGCCAAAGACGATTCTTTGAACACGCACTTATGGAGACACCATAGTGAAACCTGACACTTGGACCGGTGAAGCATCATGTTCTGAGGGCTGTCGGGATCTTCATGCACGCACGACATATGCAGGCTATTCCTTCTAACCTTTGTTGACATTGATGCCGCAATTCAGACATGCAGCGCATTTAGCTCGCACCCCTGGGCTCGGAGAGAATCCTTGGACAGGTGCGGCACCGACAGCGAGTCTTGTCTGATCTGCACGTGCTGCAACATCGCACTTATGCTACATCCGTTGGATTGAGAAGAAAGTGTTTCTCATGATTCCAATGCATTCGAGAAGCGAGAAAAGCCATCCTTGGTCTTTGTAAGACTCGCATGCATGGACATGCTTGGTTCAGAAGCTTAACAAGTGCTCCCCACGCAGCTGGAATCTTGACTCTCAAGCCCTTGCTTGCACTTGGACCCCACTTCCGTCGTGTCGCAGGGTAAAGGAAATGCTTGTGTCCGGAACAACGCCGTTCTGCCAGGCCACGTGTGCTCGTCCAGTCCTTTTTTCGCAAGGCTGCGCAAGATTTGTAGAGTCTGTCGAGGATCAAGTTGTCGCAACTGTCGCAACTCTGCGACATCCTGACAGTCTGCCAAGAAGGGTTCTCCGAAGCGGTGCGGAAGACGATAGCCAGGACCGAGTCCTGAACGCCTGGGCTTGCAACCATGTCCTGAGATGTCCTGAGCACGGGTGGGGAGATTTCAGATCTTGCATCTGTGCGACACTTGTTGCATTGTAGCGAGTTCTCATAACACGATGCACTTCTTGCAGAGATGGCTCGGAAGCTAGTGTGGAGAGGGCAAGTGGTGGATAATTGCAGAATTTCTGTTGCGACTGAACCGAGACAAATGATCGCTGCGGAAATTTTGCCGAAGGAAGAAGGTCCTACTGAATCGGTTCCAGAGAACAGAGGTTGATCCCGGTCCACATTTTCTAGATGTGTTTCCAACAGTCAATGGTCTGTATGTGCCGTCGACAGTCCTAAAATGCCACCTCAACAGTGTCAGATTCCACGGGCATTGCATCGCAGGATGCCGTGAAGTCGGAAAACCTCGAGGAGACCATGCGCTGGAGCTCAAGTTCATCAGCATCTGAAATATTCGCTCCGAGGCTGCCCGAGTCTGCACCTCAGCTTGTGCCTACATCCCTTTCCCACGCTCCGCATAACCCTCACGTACCGTGCAGGACCCACTCAAGCCACTCTTAGGAAATGCCAGGCTGCTGCTGGCGTCAGCTGCCAAGGCCAGGCTTACTTCGATCAACTCTTCATTGCTTGCAAGCATTACCAAGCGAGAACTGAGATTGCGCACCGCAGCTCCTGGATGAAGTCGTGCAGATATCTGCTTGGCTCTCAGTCTTAGCTCAGCTTCCGAGCAGCTTTGTGGTGAGAAAGGCAACGCGATCTCAAGAAACACGGCTTGCAAGACGCGCACATACGCGCCGAGGTCAAGCGTGTCGGCATAAGGATGCCGGGCAAGATTTTGGTAACTCATCTTGGACGGGAGTTCGAAGCTGTCGTCCGAGATCACCGGTGATATGAAGCAGGTGGATATGAATCGAGCCTGGAGCAGCCATTCCGCAATTTTGCTCGATTCAAGACAACCCCCAGTGCACACCAGAATTAAGTGTAGTACATCCACCTTCGTTGGGCCCACTCTGTCTTCAGCACTGAGCACCACAGGCACAGATGTGTGCATCATCTCGCGGGCGGTCAACTCTGCCAGGATATAAGCAGTTGCCGTAGCATCCATGTTCTCGGGGTCAGCTAATACAAGACAACCGTTGTCAAAGGTCTGCTCGGAGCTTGGGAGAGCCGCACGGGTCATTGTCAAAGAGGAGACAACATGCTGCAGTACCTGCTTGCTCAAATAGCTCGGCAGCGAGATTGTCTCGACAGAACCCAGCCACCGCAAGGTGTCCTTGACTTCCTTCATTCCGAAGCCATAACTTGAAAAATCACCCAAATCGGGTACCAGGCTGTCATACGCAAGTAAGAAACCCTCATCAGGTTGGGAAAAGTTCGGCAGCTTGAGCAGGATGGTCGGCACTTTGTGCAACCTTGCTACTACTAGCTCACCGACACACCTGGGATGTTGAAGGTGGCGAAAAGCTCGTAATTCTTGCTCCCTCCACAAGACGTACTTTTCCAAAACAAAACATGCTCAAGAGCTGCCTAGCCACCATGTTCGCTTCAACACATCAGGAGTGCCAAATAAAACCAATTTCTCCACATCGTGGCTAACATACGAGAACAGCTTGCTCAAGTCAGAAAGGTCGTCGACATCGATGAAGGAGGTAAAGCTGGAGCTCCGGCGAAGCAGCTCAATTTTTAGCAGGCGTGCAAAGCTGCCTGCTGCTTTCTTATGATGACAAAGGAAGAAATAGAACGGCTTGCGCTGCACGAGAAAGTGCTGCCAGACGGCTGCTGCAGCCAAGACGATGGCTGCCAGCACCATGCACGATGTCGTTACTGAGCAAATCACCATGGCAATTCTGTTGTCCACGGGTGGCGTGAAAAGAGTGCCCATATCCAGAACCAAAAGCAATCCCACATGAATAAATAAGTCAAGGTATGTCGAATGAAGCATCCGCCAAGGTCTACCGAAGGCCACCAGGAAAAAGCTGCAATACAGTAGCAAATTCAAGAAGACGAGCCCCCCGGACATTGATGGAAGCAAAGGGGAGATGACAATTAACACGTTCCGGAATAGGAAAATTGCACAAAAATGCTCACATCCTGGCCGAAACCTCATGAAGAGGAAGGAGCAGGACCTTATGAACTTCATATCGCCCCTGTGTAGGCGCCTTGGCAACTCCATCCAGAGTATCCAAGCACATAGCACCAAGAAGGACAGCGGAAGCAGAAATACTACCCCACCAAGGAGACAAAGATGCAGATGCATGCCAACGAAGTCGCAGTGCACGTTGTGATAAGTTCTCACTGTGCGCGCTCCGCTGGGATGCTCGTTGCAGCGAAAGGGCTCCAGCAGAGAGCTACAGAACGTGATAAAAAACAGAATCCCAAGTACCCCAAGCGTTCTCCAAAGCATGTACGTCCTCGCATGCCTCCTTCTTTTGCGCATTTTGCGGTAAATATGGATCAATAGCGGCCCCAGTGCTGCGAGCAAGGGCACGCCCAAGGTCTCCATAGAGAATTGCAGTGTCGGCGTCAGCTCAGCCACGCAGTCAAAATAGCTCAACGTCGAGAGAAGGACATCAAGAGAAAGAATGTCTAACGCTTGCAGAAACCAAGTGAACGGCTCCTGAGACCCGAGTACGTGCAGGAGACACTGAAAGATACTCCATGTTTTCAAAAACTGAAATTCAACAATCTAACTCCCTTCAGGGCTGGCCCAGGCTCCCCCCACTCGATGTCAAGTTGGTGAATGACAGACAACACCTGTGCGCAGGTAACCAGCTGGCTTAAGCTGAGTGAGGCAACTAGTAGGCGGCCATCTTGCTTTCCATCGCGACCCGCATTGAGGACCGCATGGAAACCGCCGGTACCTCCAAACAGCACCAATCCTCCAGTGAGCAACAAGGCATAGTCACCTCGCCACAGGGAGGCATGAGAGATTACAAGAACTCCGGTTCGGGTAGCTAGCGGCGCTAGCGGCCGCGGGTATCGGTTTCGATCTCCCGGCCTGAGGCGCATGATGAGCACTCGCCAGAGCCTGTGGCACGCAGACGATGCTGACAGCTGCCGCAAGCCAGGCTGCCGGCATCCCTTCCTTTTGCGCAAGTTCCTGGGGGCCCGCCTGGACATCTCAAAGAGTTTCCATAGCACTTGAAGACCTGACCTGGCTCGTTCACGAGCGAAGCATATCCTGGAAGCAGCTCCAAGCTGCCAGAGCCAGGGCAGCGTGTTCCCAAGCTGCACATCTCACAGCGGCCTTCATGAAGGTGAGAACCCTCTCTGCAATTACACATTGCTTGTGAAGTCGCCCCTGCCACTTCGACCCACTTCTCTACTTGTTCTCTTAGTAAGGGTCGGCTCGTGGTCCACAAATCGTCATCACCACAGATGTGACAGGCGGTCGATCCGCTTATGTTGGCAAAAGTGCCGAGATCACATGGGATGCATTCCGCCATACCAGTTCGATCACTGAAGGTTCCAGGTTCGCACTTTTGACAAAGCAGGGCACCAGACTCTCGCTGCGATCTGCCGTTGGGCACGACGTGCAACGGTAAGTCTCTCCAATACCATCGACAAAGCTCTCCGAGAAGCTTCCAGGAGGACAAACGCTGCAGGAAACGGCCCCCTCACGAGATGCAAGGTGACGTGTCTGTGAATCTTCCACCCAAAACCCAGCGATGCAGGTCGTGTCGACTGGCACCCATGATTGCCAGATAGGTCTGTTGTCTATTATCCATTGACACGCCACCTCGGCCAAAGGCTTTCCACTGGCCACATTGGCCAGCTGCTCTTGCATCTCGAGAAGCTCGAATTGCCTGGGCACGACTGACTCGGTGTTTAGGTGTGCCCCTAATATCTAGAAACAGCCCCTGTCGGCACTTCATTGTCGAGCAGCAGGTTCTGAAAGAACTGGCGTAGTTTGGGAGCTGTGGAGCGCAAGCTTTGCTTCACAAGCTTGCCGATATATGATCCTTCGGCCGCTGTTCTTAAGTTGCCCATGGCCCACTCGCTAGCTCTGTAGCGGGGCAAGACAATGGCAGAAGGATGCAGAAGAGTGAAGGCAGCATCTGGAACCCACCAGTAGAATAAGATGCGCAAGTTGGTCACATACCAGGTGTACACGCCAAAGTCTGCTGCAACCCCGATCGCTGCCGGAATTCCGTAAGTGGCCGACCTGAAACATACATAATAGGCAGTACACAAGCTGCGAAGGGCAGCTCGCGGATTATTTCAGAGCCTCAAGCATCTTCAAGCTCTAACTCTGTCGGCCTACAAATGGGCAAAGATTGAACCTTCTAGCAGCATCTAGCAGAGCTTCTAGCTCATAGACTACTAGTCTCAACTCTGAGTGCACCAGGCGAGGCATGTCGTTATGTGAGTGTGTAGATCGGATATGCGAGATGCCACACGACAAGGCCTGTGCAGCTCATGTACCGATGTACGGATGTACGCATCACCCTCTCGTTATATTGCTCAGATTTGGTCCGCGCACAACAACAAAGCTAAAGTCTAGGCAAATGTAGCTGCAGTTGCAGGTCTGTGCCAATTGCCGGGACACCACTGCATGAAGGCATTGACACGCCAGCCATTGCCCGCAGATAGAACTGGAATGCACCCAGAAGTGTCGTGACGGCAGGCTGGGCTGATCCAGAAATACCCATCAGGACAAGTCGCCACAAAATGCCCCTCGTCGCTCTCGTTGACCCAAGAAACTCCTTCTAGATCCCCGGTCCAGTAAGCATACATGGCCATCAATGGTCCACTGTTGAACTCGAGATCTGTTCGGTTGCACGGGACAAGGTCTGCAAGCGACAAATCCGTCACATCATCGAAGTACTTCTTCGGATCGTGGAACGACGTGTTATAACTCTTGTAGAACTCCAGGGCAAGGCCAGAATCGCGGTAAGCTGCATCCTGCACACTTGCAGTCAGGAACAGATACTCCTCTCCCGCATATCCGATGGAACCAAGGTCTTCTGGAGCGACCTTAGGGTTAGCCTTCTGGAATTCGGCATACCCTGTGGGTGATGAACCCAACCAGCTTTCAAGTGCAACGTGATTGCCTTCACTCGCGCAGTCTATGCCTTCAGTGTCATGGCACTCAGACAGCAGCCAGATTCCATCAGTGACGTCCACTGCGACGTCCGTGCTGACCTGCGAATGAATTCCCAAGGCTTCGCGGACAAGGATAGCTGCGATGTTTGTCACCAGCTTGGACGAGTCCCAGTCATAGGACACCATGCCGACAGAAGAGTTGCGTCCGTCAAGGCTTGGAACAAAACCCCTTCTGTGGAGGGCAATTGCATCATGCAAGCAATGGGCCTCCGAGCTTCCATTAAATGCATATTCAGAAGCAGAGGCTGCAGTCAACCAGAAAGCTGCAAAGCTGTAGCGGAGCATGGACCCAGCATGGCTTGGCCATGGGGAGAGCTCCGGTCCAAGGGGAGCTTGGGCCGACACAGGCACGGTCGCTCAGGCTCGCCGCCTCCACAAAGATGCTGACCCGCCTCTCCATATTTCTTATCTCAGGGAGGAACTGGCATCAGAGAGACTGGCTCGAGTTTTGCACGAAAGTGAACAAAGGAACTTTCCCCGACTCTTACCCTCCAAAGGCTTGAATCACGTGCTCCAAGCCCAACTCCTGCTTCGACAAGCTAGCAACCGAACTTGATCGTCAACTTGTTCTGCTGACAGTACAATATCCGAAGGAGGAGGAGCATTTCGAAGGTCAGGCCGCATAATCGATAAACAAAAAATGCTTTCAGGAAGGGGGCACCGGGTGCATTTTTGTTGTTTTTGTCGCCACGGTCCGCCAACCAGCGCTGTACAACGTGACGCAGCTCTCTTCGAGTGGTGAACTCAGGTCTGTACAGATTTCTAGCAGCACAAGCAAAGCGGCTCAGATTTGCCGAGTGTGAGACCTAGTGAAGCAAACGCATAGCCAACCGAAAATGTCGGTCCAAAAATGTGTTTCTGGAGTGCTCTCTGCCTCGGCAGAGGTTTTCGGCGGGGTGGGTTCTTCCCTAGATCCCTTGATTACCCATTTGGCCGCCTTTGTTTTCGCAGCCTGTATTTCTGGGCTGCGGACTGCTTCTGGACTTGTGCCATCGCGGGACGTGATCTGCAGCATCTGTTCTAGATGGCTGAGCCTAGGAGCTTCCAGGTAATCAAGCTCAGCACCAGCATACCACGCACGCACTGCATTTCGGCTGCGCAGATCTGCCTGTCGAATGGGCTCCGGAGCTGCATGATGGCACAGCTTGGAAGTCAGCGCCACTGCTGTCTCCAAGCTGAGGCGATGCCCGGGGCTGACCACCAGACATCGGCTACCCTTTGTCTTTAGCAGGGCTGCTACAGAGCAGAGAGGAGCCCACTCGCTTGGACGATGCAGGGTGTGAGCCAAGCGCCTAGCCACAGATGAGTTGACCTCACCAACTTTCAGAACGTCCTTTGCAACGCCGATCGTCGGCAAGTCGATTGAAATCCCAAGATGGGTAGCAGCACCACACCGGCGAGGATGGAAAGCACCGTTGCCATCTACAAGGACCACTTGCGGAAGAGCATGCCTGGGGACATCTTTGAACATCTGACTCAGGGCGGGCACTTCGCGCATGGCCAGAAACCCTGGCACGTATGGAACCGTCAGCCGAAAGGCTGCACTTCGCTCATAAACCACCTTCAGGCTGGGAAAATCGAGCACTACGATAGCCGCAATGGCATAAGTTCCATCTGCGAAGAAAGACACGTCCACACCGCCAACTCGTGAAAGACCTGGGAAGTTACCGTCCTGGCCGGCCTCCCAATCCAAGCAGTCCTCCTCTACCCGTAGCTTTGCAAGTGCCACCTGCTCGGCTGTCCAGCTTGCCTTCTGCTCCCGCGAAACCATTGCAACTGCGGGCACTGCGGGCGGGAGATGTTTGCAGATTGTGCACCGAGCCGAAGCCTAGTCACCCTTCCTTGTTTGAGCACGTCACTACACCCCTCTGCCCCTCTGCGGCAACATGACCAGACACGGTGCTAGCTTTTTCTCTGCAAGTCCGTCTCACCACAAGTCGTGAAACACGAGCGCTTTCTGGCTGTCTTTTCTCAAGTGCGGGCAGGCCCTGTCTGCAGCTCAGGGGGTAGGAGAGACAGATCCAAGCCCTTGTACTCCACCTTACAGCTCATGTCTCTCTCCCTTGTGCAAGGGTAAAGAGTTGCAGCCCAACCTCCAGCAGGCTAAGCCCTGAACGAAGTACTGTGCGGCATCACTTCGCGAAGCCTCTTTTCCTGTGCAGGTACGCTTTCAGGCTGCATGGCCGCTGCCATTTACGACCTGTTCTGGGACGTGACTAGTCGCAACCTGCCGCCAAGTCTCGCTTGGAGGCTCGCGGTGAGATGTTGGCACCTGCCTCGTGGCAGCTGGTAGTCTCTGTCGAACTGCTCTTTATGAAGCGCCGCGAAGATCCCGATTTCACACTTTCCAGACATGTGTTAATCCTTCGCTGCCGCTTGTGAATTTCAGCTTGGTTGTCCAGTTTCATCATCTGACACGCCCGCTTGCATTTTCCACACCGACATCACAAGACGGGCCCGACAGCAGCACACCCTTGGGCTCTGGGTGCCTCGGCGTTGCGCTCGGCGGCGCGTCGGCGGACTGCCGTCAGAGGCCCTGCGCAAGCTGATGTGTGCAAGCAAACCTGTAGCCCGTGTGACAGGCCTACACCCTCCTCTGCCAAGCCGGCGAAAGAGTCAGCAACAGCTGACTGTGCCTTCAGCTAAAAGCTATTGTGCAAAATGAAACGTCCAATGTCGAAATGTGGACTTGCTCTCTACGCTGTGCTCCTGACTTCTCTGACCCAGCCGGTGAGGTTGCCGAAAAGCTGCTGTGCTCCTCGCACAGTCCTCGCCTTATGGGCATGCTAACATGTGTGATACTACGGAGCGAGTTTTGTCGATTGTGGACATCAACAAGACTAACGCGCAGCTGCAAGCTCCGCTATTGCACATCACCGTCTGAGAGTGCTGGCGGCAGTTTCTTGTAGTGCCTGAGCATCGATTACCTCCTTCCTCAGCTGAATCACTGCATGTGGCTAATTCGATTTCCCTTCATGTGTAAACAGCTGGTCAGAGGTCATCTGCACCATTCTACATTTATCGCAGGGTGCCGTAGCTCCAAGACAACGAGACCTTTGCCTACTGTCCGCATTCGGAAGGTGGACGTACAGCTGCCACATGTCATGCTAATTGTGAGAGTGTTTCGAATTCATCGTTCTCTATCTTGCAGCAGTCCGAAGACAATCTCGAGCCAAGCAGCGTTGCCCGCTCACCCTTCACATCGCTGGGCGAGGCAGATGCCTGCAAAGCCACTGGCATCTTAGCCTCTCTCGTACGTTGTAGCATCAATGCTTTGTGGATCGACCTGAAGTGAGTTCAAAAGTCCCTGCTGGCATGCTGTTAACGAGGTAGGAGCCAACCCGATTGGTGCATCTCTCAGCTCGCAAGCGACATGCTGTTGTGCTTTCTTTTACAATAACAATCAATAACAGAGCACCTCATCAGAGCTTCTTGGAACTAAACTCTAAAGGCTTTTCTGTATCGCCTCAATTCAACCTGCACCGAAACATGGCAGCAATAAGCCGCGAGTTGCGAGTACGTTCGATCGCTTGAAGGCAACTTGGCTCTAGTCTTTCGCGAAGAAAGGAAACATCACGACTGCGGCGAAATTGAGCGCTCATGCTCCGTGTTCAATGGCCTCGGCGGCTGCTGCCCCACGACCTGGCATGTGGTCCACACCTGACACAGTTCGGCGCAGTCACTCGCCGGCTATTTTCGGTCTAAGCCACGGATGCTCGGGACAGTGCTTTCCAGACAAAGGTCGGCGCGTCGCTCCTGTGGCTGTCAAACAGAGCGTGTGGAAGCCCTCCATCGACTGGAATTGCGGCCGGTCTGAATTCAAGACGTCGGCCTGCGTCGCATGGCAAGTTCTGTCCCACTCTGCTACCTCCCCCGAAAGTTTGAGCCACAGTGCCACGTACGGCGGACAAGCACGAGTGCTCGGAAAGAAACCCAATCCTGTAGCATTATCAGACCAACAGTTCAAGATCAGCAAAAATTCAGACAGCTCACGCAGCAGAACACAAGCAGCAAACGAAAGTGTGATGGCGTGGAAACACCCGAAACACAGTGTAGTAGAAGCAAGCACATCAGCAGGCTTAGCAGCAGACCACAAACAAAACAACCGTAGTGGTCTCCTTGAGCAACATCTAGGATGTACAAGTTCAACGTGGCACAACACCACGACACGACAGGAAACAACATCTTACCGGAGACAACGACAACAAGTAAGTCAGTGGCAGCGAATGTCGGGTCACCGAAACAGCAACAGCAAAAAAAACAGCAGCAGCAACAAAGACAGCAGCAGCAGAAGCAGCTGAGGCGACAAGGCGTCGCCACATGGAGAAAGGCATCGACACTATATTCCAGAGCGCTCGTTGCATTACACCAGCAAAATCAAGCGGATTTACCCCTTTCAGGCCCATGTTCTTGCATAGCAGCGACATGACTGCACTCATTGGTTGCTGGCAGGGACATCTGTTTCAGAGGCTCTGCCAGCGCCACAGAGCTGAGAATCTGCCACGAGAAACGCACGAGATGCAACAACGTGCGTCAAACAAGCATCCTGTTGATGATTCTCAGTTCGAGCGACTCTAGTGTTGCATAGTGTTTGCAACCTACGAACATGGCCAGCCAAAGAACACTGCTGGAATTTCTACATAGTCCGTTTCTGTCATCTAGACCCAGCATGGCGCTGTGCTCTTCTAGCTGCTGTGAAATACCTTGAAAGGTAACTGCTCCTGAATTTGGTGCAGGCCCTAGCAGTCAGAAGCCGGCAGAGGCATGCACACGTGCACATGCCTCAGCTCGTGATCATCTCCAAGAGTGTGCTTGGAGCTCTGGAAGCAAGCTTTGGCAAAAGCTCGAATGCACTGAACTACCGAACTTCCACGTCGATTGTGCCAAGCTACTAGATTGATCATGGACCTGCCCGGTAGCTTGTTGGACCTCGTCCTGGGCCTGGCACCTCACGCATGCTCTCCCGTTCTACGGCCAACTTCAATCATGTGCCATGCCAAGAATAAGAAGCAAAGCCACATGATGGAAACTGGACACAACTGGACCGGATGTCGTGACAGGGACAGCAGCAATACTCGCACATCGTCCCCTCAGAGCAAAACTCAGCACAATCGTGGGCTACACCACCTACTTCCAATGCACATCCCATGAGAAATGTCGGATTGCCGGAAACACCGTCACGGCTGGCGTAATGTTGGGGTGTATTCAGCCAATCCAAGCTGCCTGATTGTTGTTCGCGTTCTCTGGTGGCACCAGCCGCAAATTCTCCTAGCAGTTTTGCTTCAAAACTGAAACGCTGCAGTGTTGAAAAAAGCATGTCTGGTTAAGTTGTTAGATCATGCTGACAAGTGTCAGGCTTGAAGCTCAAAGTCTGCATTTCGCGAGTCATCCTTGAGGGCATGCTGCTGCAGCAATGGCAAGCATACGATGGCATCAGCAACCATGAACATGCGATCCAGACACTCGTCGTCATCAACGATCACGTCCACTGAATAGCGGCCCTTGTCGTTTGGACCACCTGCGAGAAAGTAATCGGGCTGTTGTGGAGCACGATCCACAACCCTGAAGACACATGAGGTATAAGAAGGGGTGCCAGTGAGCTCGTTGTTCCTTGGGCTGGTGAATTGCAATAGGCTCCACACTCGACACAAGGCATTCCATTTTCAAATGCGCATGGCACATGCCAAATTGCCTGCTGTTGAGCATCCAGGAGTCACCTCGTGCCTGAGACCTGTTGCTGCTGGCTGCCTTGTGTTGGTTTGTGCATGTGCCAAAACACTGCAGCTTTGTTACTGTAAGTTGTGTTCAAGCTTAACGCAGTAGACAAGACATTGAATCACAACATATCACAACATCGCGCGAACAAGCAAGACAGACATGCTAGTAAGTTCTCATTCTGGCATACGCATGTATCACATAACGCGAAGGGGGTTCGACAGCCCAGTTTCGGCCAAAGTTCGTTGATTTGCTACAGGTCGAGAGCAAGCCACACTGGCCCCGGCCGCCTGTGATGAAACCTTCCAGCCCATTGAAGTGTGCCTCAGAAGGGATTCCGCTCTCTCCTGGCTAAGTGAACTGCTCCAGCACCATGCGGCTGCCTGCCTGTGAAAGCCCGACTAGTCGGACATGCGCGCCTACAGCGAGCTGCCCACCGCCTGCCTCCAAAGGGCAGGACACGTCTGAGTTCTGACAAGCACTGGCAGAGAGGTCTCACCCGTGGCAAACCTGTGACACCGGTGCTATCCGCCGCACTTGTCGTTTGGGCCAAAGCCTTTGACAGCCTTGCAGGCTTCAGTTTCCCCACGATGCGGGCTCAAGCAAACGTCTCATCTTGGTCTGGGTCCACGCAGCACGCGAAGACTTCAGCCACAAGCCCAGGGATTCTCGGCCACAGGCATTTCGACAGCCGCGAAGGCTTCTTGGGCTCCGTGTCTGGAGCTTGGCCAGGGATTATCTTCCTGATTTGCGCCCAATCGCATTCGATCACACACACAGTGGTGCCCACACAACCGAATCTGAAGTGCGGAAAAGCATCTTTTTCATCCTGTATCCACCCTCTGATCGCTGCACGACTTCCTGATCTTCTGTACCCACAGCAACCGCGTACCTAAGTCGTGTCTACCGGCGAGTCAAAGCTTCTCGGGTCCGTATGCTGCAATCAGTGGCAAAGAGGCAAAGACGACCGGCTAAAGTCAGTCAAGCACACTTTTGGCGCTGGTAGTACATATAGAAGGCGACTGCGCAACACGAAATCAGCGCGGAAATGCCGAGAGCACTCGCCAGGACGACCTTGCTTGGCTAGCTGTGGCGCCCCTGGTGCCGGAGGCCAGGTTTCTGAACATGTCAAACCCATGCTGTAGATTCACGGCATGATATTAGCAGCACTGCATCGTCAGCGCACTCGGATCAAACAGATCGATTAGACTCTCGCACCGACACTTGTCGCAACGACCTGAGTAAAGCTCGATGTTGAAGCCAACCAAACCCTCCCAAGAAGCGTTCAGAACATCCTCACAGGGTCTGAAATCAAGCATTTTCATGCTGGAAGGGATCCTACAGGCTATGCAACAGCTTCGTTCAATGCCCGGCTGTCATTGGAATTTGCCAGAAGATTTCTGGCGAACGGGGCTGTATCCTGTGTGAATGAAAGGCTGGAACCCCAGAGTGTGTAGCACACTGCTTGGGGAAGAAGCATGCCTAATTCGGACAAGCATCAACTATCGTTGTGCTGGCCGTCCTCAGCAAATGAGCAGCCAAATGGTGAAGCCGTGCGAAATGAAAACGGATCATATTGCAATGAAATGCTCGCGGTTTCAGCACAGTTAATTCAAGACTTGTCTCCAAACAGGCGGTGGCTCGGTGGTCGTGGTGTCGGGCGGTGCCATCTCCACCGTCGGGCCGAGCGCCAAGTGCACCCACATCTGCCCTATAGGAAGGCAGAGAGGACACAGCGAGGGCTTGAACCGATCCTACTTGTCCTGCACTGCGACCTGTCGGACAGACCGTGAGGTTTACGAACTAACGCACGGACGGTCCTTGCCTGGTATACTGGCGCCCGATAGCCCCACGGCCTCCAGCTCCTGCGGTATTCCACTTGTGCGACTCTCTCTCTTACAGCTACAGGCAGAGTCGGCAAAGTCTCAAGCATCTTCTGCACAGGTTCCGTTCCTCCGCTCTCACTATCTTTCTGTAAAGTTGGGCGTTGAAGGTTGTCCCGTGTCCTCGTAGATCACCTGCAAGAGCGGGCCCTGGTTTATTCTCACCTGCTCCAGGTTGTAGGTGACCGCTTCACCTGAAGCCCAGGCCGAAAATGAAAGCTTCACGTACCTGCGGCCACAGCGGCCACTGCGGCCAGGCTTAGGCTTCCCACGCACTTGGTTGCTGCGCGTGGTGATGCGAACGATGAGCCGCAAAGCATTGCTGTCGCCAGGCCAATCGATCTGCAGCTCGGGCTCTTCGGACCTGAGCCAACAGAAAACCACAAGTGCTCAAGTGCTGCGCTTGAGACAGTAAGCTGTCAGCGTGCTGCTGCTCAGTGGTGTCTCCGTGCTGGTAGTCTGGTCTGAAGGCTGGCAAATTCCACAGGTGCGCTGGCAACCATCCAGGACCTGAGTTGCTGGGGGTACTCGCCAGAAATCATGGTTTCTCAGAGGTCATTGATGAGTGTGCAGGATCCTCAGCGTGACGTTCAAATCCACCGTGCTGCACAAGCTGGAATATATCGCTCATGTACCCAGCTGCCGATCTACAACACCGCCATAGTATCCCTCAACGAATCAACCAACGATCTTTTTGCCGTTGAGCAGACCAAGTCGGACAGCCTGGTGAACTCCAGATGGCATCTTCTGATAGGTCCCCGGAGCTGAGACGTTCCAATTCGACTCGTGCAATGCTGACATGTGCTGGGATTTTGTATCTTGTCTGCAGCCTCGCAAGCGTCAAAAGAAGATCGCACAGCTTCTTGAAACCATATCAGCATCCGGACGACGTTCTCGTCAACTTCACCGACTTTTCCGGGTGCTGTCGCCTGTGGACTGCTTCCGTTCAAAGGTGTCCGCTCGTGTTCCTTGGCGCCAAACCTCCACTTTCTGCCACCCGCTGCCTTCCATGTCTAGTGACCCAACATATCAGCGTAACACCGCATGATCAGCCCTGCACGATCTACTTTGATTCGCCATGAATCAAAAGACCATGGATTTTTCCGCCATCGCTGCAGGGTGCAGGAGACACGGATGCGGAGGGCACGCAGAAGGACGGCGACCAGAGCTGCTTCGCAAGCAACGTCTGAGCCAAGGTGCAGCACCAGTGCATGCTAAACGGACGATCCTGTTACCGGGGCTGTCTCGACTGTTCTGCATCATTCCCTGGAAGACTTCTCGAGCTGACCAAGAAAAAAATGCAAGTACTTCACTAGCGGACCCAGCAGCACGCACTTTTTCCTCAATTACAGAGGTCTGCGATGAGTTCAGTCGACATGGATTTGGTTTACAAGCGGGTCTTCATGCCAGCTCCAGCACTGGCAGCATCGAGGCGATGTCCTGCACCAGAGCAAAAAGACTCTTGGAGTGCCACCGCCCGTACAGCCGGCACATTCCTTCTCGAAGTCGAGTTCGCTGGCGCTCTCGACCACCGCGTCAGCATCGCCGAAAAACTCCTCCCAGGTCTGCACTCTTCTAAGTTGTCACGGAAAAGCACACCGGAGCCTTGGCCGAGTAGACGCTCTTGGTGACAACGACCTGCTAGAAAATTGCGGCCCAAGTTCTTGCTAGCACGGTGGTTGAATCGTCGGCACTCGAGAAGGGGCCTTCATGCTGGCTGCCGAGCCGGCTTGTGCTCCGATGCCGGTATCCTCCACCACAATGCACCGCATTGGTGCAACACCGAGCTCTTGCGCAGCCAGTTTGTAGATGGCCTGGTCACATCGCCACAGAAAAAACGGTTCGAAACTGCACCAGCTCTCAAGCTAGCGCAAGAAACGACGACTTTCAGTCTGGTCGCCGGATCCGGCTTCTTCGCAGCAACCACGTCTCCAGCAAAGACTTTGATCTTGTCTGCGAAGTCGGGCAGCATTGTCTCCACCACTGCTCGAACGGAGGCCTCGACACTTCGCAAGATCACATGCCGCACGGATGTGCCTCTGATCGCAGATCTTCGCAGTCGCCTCGTTGCTCGTTGAGCACACGGCCAACTGCCAGCCTGCGGCATCCGCTGCGGAGATCAGCTCCTGGCCGAATTGCGCGATCTGCCGCCATCCGATTCTATGATTCTATGTCTCAAGCCTAAGGACGAAGGAATGCGACGGCACTCCTTGATACCCTCACGCAGGGGCAGCTCACCTGATTTCACCTCAGACCCCAGACAGAAATTGTCCAACAGGGAACCCGGATCCCGAGCGAGAGAGAAAGAGAGAGAGCGAGAGAGAGAGAGAGAGAGAGAGAGAGAGAGAGATACGCCGATGTCGTATGGATATGATATAATATAACATAACATAATATAATACAATATACTATAACATAACATAACATAACAAAATATAATATAATATAAGAAAATATAATATAATATAAAACAATATAATATAATATAATATAATATAATATAATATAATATAATAAAAATATAATATAATATAGTATAATATAATATAATATAATATAATATAATATAATATAATATAATATTATATTATATTATATTATATTATATAATATAATAGGATAGGATAGAATAGAATGGAATGGAATAGAATAGAATGGAATAGAATAGAATAGAATAGAATAGAATAGAATAGAATAGAACAGAACAGAACAGAACAGAACAGAATAGAATAGAATAGAATAGAATAGAATAGAATAGAATAGAATAGAATAGAATAGAATAGAATAGAATAGACTAGAATATAGTATATTATATATGTAAAAATATATATATATATACACACACAAAGTTATTAGATGAGACTATAGGGTAATAAAACCTGTAGTCTGGCATAAGTACTACATCATCATGCATAACCTATGTTTCCTTTCGTCCCTGTCCTTGGCGTGCTCGAAGAAGCTGATCTGGTGTTTGGATTCAGACGAGGAGAGCGGCACCTGCACACAAGGAAGCCTCACCTCCCGTGCCTCGACGCTGACGTGAGTTTTTGCTCAATGGGGCCTTGGAGGGCCGATCACGAACCTGGCCCAACTTGGAGGAGGCCTGCCAGCAGCTCTTTCCATAGCTTTCCTACAGAACCCTAAGACAGCGCTGCAAAAGGTGGAGGCACAAATGTCTGCCACGGCTTCTGTCAGCTTCAGCTCTCGCGAGCGGCATCGTATGAGGTCTTCTTCGAGTCGACGTTGTTGTCACACGGAAACAAGCAACTGGCAGACAGTGGCATTGCAGCTCCACCATCCAGAAAACAACCGCGACCAAGGGCATCACGAGCATCATCGGTCCGCCATTTCCAAACGAAACGCCCGAAACAGCTCGCACAGGGCAGCCGCAGGTTCCGAGCTCTGCCGGCCCTCCAGTGCAAGTACGCATCGTCACATGATTACGTGCCTCTGCGGAGAGTTCCTCCGAGTCCGCGTACCAGCTAACGTACATGCCCTTGAGCTCCTCCTGCAAAGGAAGGGGTCAGCCATGTGGGAGACTGCCTCTGCTCAGCCGGGCCTGCTCGGAGGCTGCAGTCAACGTGGCTGAGAAGGCGTCCAACTCACCATCGCAACCACAAAATTCTGCACAGACCTGGTCGATGCCAAGAGGCTGGGCCGTTGCTTACATGCTTCAGGGCCGACTGTGGATTTGAGCACACTTTCTGAATCTTTGAGCATCTTTGCGCCCGGACTCCTTGGACACTTTCCCTATGACGGCCGCCTGCCTTTTTGGCAGAAGGCAGATTGATTTGCGGGACAGGGCTCCCAAAGCATGATTTCCTGGATTCCCACTCCACCATGCTTGACAAGCCTACAACACAACCTTCCCCGCAGCCTGACTGTAACGACAGGCGGTGAGACTTTGACGACACCCGAAAACAAACGAGATATCCACTGCAGTCGAGCTGGCAAACAAGGAAAGATCAAAGCAAAACCAGTGTGGTTTGGTTTGACATTCCTTTAATGGTTAATGCATGCATCGACTCGCACTCATTGGTTCATCATAGGCAAGCCGAGCAGTATGGCCTGAGCGGCGCAAAAGGCCAACGTGGAAAAAGCTTCTGACACCAACTATTCGGCCGTATCGCACGGATACATGAGCCTGAGCCCGGGCACCAGCGAGACAAGCACTGAAGGAGCACTTCTTCGCCATGCATGGTTGCACTTGACTTTGCACCTTGACTCTGGCGCGTCTTGCAAGACGGAAAGGCGATGAAGGGCGGGAATCATTGACAACAACTGAACCGCCGGGCCCGACACTTCGGGCTGGCCCGCTTCACTGTCAAGCATCGAGATTCGACCGCAGCATCCAGACCTGAAAGGAGGTGGCATGAGCTTCTGCTTTTCGAAGCCGGCCGAGTCGTGGCCCGAACACTTGAGCTTGTTGGCGCAGTGCACAACGCACATCATGCCATCACAGTTCGTGTCGTCGGGTGCAGTCATCGCTTCCTGTGGGAGTGATGAGAAGCGCTTGCATGGAGTGCTGGACTCGAGGCAAAAGGCTCCAAAACAGACACGGGCGCTGTCTCGTACTAAGGCAGCCACCCGTACTGCTCTGTCGACTGCGCTAAGATGATCGACCGAGTCACATTCTGACGCGTCCCCTGGCAAGCGACAGCACCAGAAAAAGTCACTGCGATGCTTTACAGGTGGGGCAGGCCGCCGAAAACGTCGCATCCTGAGCCAGCTGAAACCGTAGGATTTGTTTCGCAGCTTGTCGGTGATGCATCTTCGTCGCTGTCACAGGATAGGGCGAAGGCCAAGCAAGCATTCGCAAACCTTCGCCGACCCTCCCTCACACCTCAGTCCAGGTGAAGCCGACAAGCTTGGGCCCTTGACCTGGGGGCACATGCAGGCGAAGTGCTCTTGAGTCTCCTCGGCGTGCACCAGCAGAGCCAGGAGAGCCTCAGATGGCTCAGGCTTTTGAGAGTCCAAGGCTCAGGAGTGGGAGCCGAGGCCCTGGCAGTCAGGTAAAACCATCTCATGATCAGCCTACGAGTGTAGGTCAGGAGATTGCGGTACAACGCGAAGCCCAAGTCGAGATTACTGAGTCAGGCACGTTAGCAGTTAGCAGGAGCTGCTGACCCAAATGCATGCAGCATTCTTGAGCCGAAGTGGCACGGAACAGCAAAAGTGGGTCAGCTCCATGGTCAGCGACGCACCCACAGCACATGTGGTGAGAGGCCACGTTGCGCATGGCCGGTTTCAGCATCCCACCCGGCATTAGCTGCCCGATGCTCACTTGGAGTGGCTGAGTGGCAGGCGATAGCTATCAGAGAGGCATTGCCTTCCTTCACCACCTGTCTCAGCGAGTTGTCTGACGAGTTCCTTCGACTACGCGCTTCCACAAGGCTGGAGTGGACATCTCTGCACAGCTTGCGTGGTGGCCTTTACGCAAACCGCATCCTCGCCTTGGGTCAGACATGAAGACCAAAAGAAAATTCAATGCCAGTGTCACAGCCTGGGTT